AAGACAAAGACCAATGATGAATTCTGATCGAACAGTTTCTAGCAGTATTGTTCTCATAGTCCAGCCATCTCATTTCATAGAGGAGAATGTTGAACATTCTCAGGTGGACGCCAGTTTCTTGGCCTTATCTTTTTTTATTTTTATTTTTATTTTTTGAGACAGTCTCGCTCTGTCGCCCAGGCTGGAGTGCAGTGGTGTGATCTTGGTTCACTGCAACCTCCACCTCTCGGGTTCAAGCAATTTTTCTGCCTCAGTCTCTCAAGTACCTGGGACTACAGGCGTGTGCCACCATGCCCGGCTAATTTTTGTATTTTTAGTAGAGATAGGGTTTCGCCATGTTGGCCATGTTGTTCTTGAACTCCTGACCTCAGGTGATCCGCCCACCCCAGCCTCCCATAGTGCTGAGATTACAGGCATGAGCCACCTCGCTCAGCCCTCTTGGCCTTATCTTGATACCCTTAAAAAACAAATTTTATTCATAGATCTTATATTTGCATGCCATGTTGAGCTTGAAAATACAGAAGTAGAATATTTTTAAATGACTTCTAGAAAAGGAAGCACAGATGAAGTAAAATTTACTGCCGTTTGAAACCACAAAAATCATAATAAACACCTTAAATGAAACGCCAAGTCAATAAAGTTCATTTAGACAGGGTTCTGAGAGGCAGTCACTGTGGTATACACATATTTCAGCAGTAACAGAAGAAGTGGGGGTTGCAGATAGCAAGTGTATTACACAATATAAGCATTGGCCGATTCTTTTTTCTGTTTCTCTCATTTAGAAAATATAAGGGAATTGATTTTCAGTATTTTTTTCAGATCAAGTGATATTAAAAATCAGTTTAGCCAAAATTAAGAAACATAGAAGTATTTAAAAAATATATCTGAGTACAATTAAGATAAAGATACATGAATTATTTGCCTGGTATAAGACTTTCTCTATAATTTTAGTGCTTTTGCTAAATGTATAAGTACTTAAATGATGTTGGCCCATTGATAGAAGCCATAGCTTTAATTTGATCCAAGTCTTTATAGGCTTAATAAATTTTAAAAAATCACCCAGATCTACCTACCTATGTGGATAGACTTTTTACAAAGGAACATGTAGTTAAATAACATTTTTGATCACCCAGAATTATGCAGTATTAGTGTTCAGAGAGTTTAAATTAGTAATGTAGATATGTAGTTTACTCCCAGGGAAAGAGAGGAATAATAAGTATCTATGCATGCAGAGTGGTCAGTGGGTATAAATGAACTTGAATTCATTAACCTCATGATTTGACATCAAAAATGGAAAAATCTGATCAAGTAAAGTTCAGGGTGGTGGTTATTTGTGTGTGCATAAAGGAATGGTGTTTGGGGTTTGACCTGGGTAGCCACTCTTTGGTTCTTGGACAGTATTTTATTCCCAGCCCCAGCCTCTCAGTCCTGAACAGGTCACCATTCAAAAATACAGGTTCCTGTAGTGCCATCATTTCAGGAAAATTCTTTGGGGGCACTGATGAGTCTCCAAACCAGCATGAAACATGTTGCAGCTAATTTATTCCGTGAACTTAACATTTTGTGAAATGTATACATTATCTACCTCTACATAGTTCAATTCATCCCGTCCTCCACTTGAGCATCCCCATGTAGTGAGCCTGTAACAATGATCTTCCATTCTATAGAAGGAGAAACAGAAGCTCAGAGTTCTTGATTTCTTTATTACTCAGTTGCTGCTCCTTGGGTTTGCCCTTTAAATGTCAGGTGATGTTTGTAGCAACGTGATATTTTTACTGAGTATCTCATTTTGAAAAAAGAGAAGTAGTATGTGCCCCAAGGCCTCATTGGGGATGGGAAGAAATGGGGCTCTCCTTTCATATTCAAACATTTCCCTTTCCAGCAGCCCCATGGAATCACCCTGAGTGACTTGGATGGCTACTTGTGTAGTGAGGGAGGTACACGAGGGATCTGAAAGAGCTGCCAAATAACCCAATGAATATTTGCAGCCTTTATGGGAAATAACTACAGAGAATGAATATCAATCGATATGTAGATAGATGAACATCTGGGCATTGATTCTGAAACAACTGAAAAATCAAAGGATGATTTAGCTTAATAGTGCCTTGATTTTACAAGAGATTTTAATGTTCATGATTAAACTGGCTGTACCGGATTTTACCGAAGCCCATTTATTGTGCATTGGCTGTAGCCTTCCCAGCAGGCATTCCAATGCTCTTGTAACATCTTTCAGATGCGGCTACAGGTGTAGCTCAGCCTCCTGGAAGGTCCTGTTCTCTCACAGCTGCCAATGGGAGACCTGATTGTAATTATAGCTTCCATGATGGAATGTCTTTAAAACCTAAATCTAGGCTACAGTTGTTGGCCTAATGCCTGAAGAACCGTGGCTGTTAGGAGCTTGAAGAGTCTGATGAGGAGCCCCTTAGTGCTAAAGCCACGTTTGTGTAAGAAATGGAGTTAGGCAGTTGAGCGTAGTTTGTGGGCTGATTATGTTCTCTTGAGTCCGTGGTCTATATCCATGTCTATCTCTAGCTCTGAATCTCTGCATCTTATTGACCTAGAGCCTGAGATCAGTAGTGAAACAATAAAAATTTTTGGTTTACTTCTGCAGTGGAATTATGGAGAACTGTTATTAGATATGATTTGATATTAAAATGAAAACGCGTTAGAAGTAAAAATGTGTTTGAGGGAGTAATTCTCAATCTGTCAGAGAAGACGAAACAAAGATTTAAATATTTTTACATTCCTTGGAGCCATCCTTAATTAAGATATACTTGATTTTAGTCCTTTTCCCTTAACCCTATTTCCTGGCTGACTTGAAAATTATAAGCAATTTCCGCTGTAGGTTTTGGCTACTTGAAAGGTTATGCTTTTCAAAAACACAACTTTTGCAAGGGTTTAATTCCACATTGCCACAGGAAAGTGTGTTCAAAAATATTTGTAGGGTGGGGTATGTGTGTGACAGAGACAGATTGAAGTTGAGCAGTTGTATACATGTGTGTGTTTGAAGTGTGTGTAGGTCAGGGGTTGGTAAACCAGGGTCAGTCGACCACATCTGGCCTGCTGCCAGTTTTTGTATGACTTGTGAAATAAGAAGGGCGATGTGGTTTGGATCTATGTCCCCAGCCACATCTCATGTTGAAATGCAATTCTCAATGCTGGAGGTGGGGCCTGGAGAGGTGACTGAATCCTGGGGACAGTTTCTTATGGTTTAACATCATCCCTCCTTGGTACCTCATTGCAACATTGAGTTCTCATGAGATCTGGTTGTTTAAAAGTATATGGCACCTCCCTTTTCTCTCTCTTGCTCCTGCTTTGGCCATGTAAGATGTGCCTGCTTCCCCTTTGCCTTCTGCCCTGATAGTATGTTTTTTGAGGTCTCCCCAGAAGCAGCAGCCACTGTGCTTCCTGTACAGCCTGTAGAACCATGAGTCAATTAAACCTCTTTTCTTTATAAATTACTCAGTCTCAGGTATTTCTTTATAGCAATGTGAGAACAGACTAATACAGAAAATTGGTACTGAGAGTGGGGTATTGATATAAAAATTACCTGAAAATGTGGAAGCAGCTTTGGAATTGGGTAATGGGCTTCTCAGAAGAAGCCCTCCAAACTGTTCCAATGTCTGCCCATTACCCAGTTCAACAAGCCACAGGAAGAAGAGGGAAAGTTTGGAACTTCCTAGAGTTTTGTTGAATGGTTGTGATCGAAATGCTGATAGTGATATGGACAGAGATGGTCAAACTGATGAGGTCTCAGATGGATATGAGGAACTTATTGGGAACTGGAGCAAAGATCACTTTCGTTATGCTTTAGCAAAGAACTTTGAGGCATTGTGACCCTGCCCTAGGCATCTGTGGAACTTTGAACTTGAGAATGATGATTTAGAGTATGTGGTGGAAGAAATTTCTAAGCAGCAAAACATTCAAGATGTAGCCTGGCTGCTTCTAACATCCTATGCTCATATTGTGTGAGCAAAGAAATGATATCCAACTGGAACTTACATAATATTATTTAAAAGGGAAGCAGAGGATAAAAGTTTGGAAAATTTGCAGCCTGGCCATGTGGTAGAAAAGAAAAGCCTGTATTCAGGGAAGGGATTCAAGCAAGCTGCAGAAATTTGCATAGATGAAGAGGAGCCAAGTGCTAACAGCCAAGACAATGGGGAGAAGGCCTCAAAGGCATTCATAGCACCCCCTCCCATCACAGACCAAGAGTCCTAGGAGGGAAGAATGGTCTCCTGGGCTAGGCCCAGGACCCTGCTGCCCTGCCTTGGGACACTGCTCGCTGCATCCCAGCTGCTCCAACTCCAGCCATGGCTCAAAGGGACCCAGGTACAGCTTGAGATGCTGCTTCAGGACTGCCAGTCATAAGCCTTGGTGGCTTCCTCATGGTGTTAAGCCTGCAGGTGCACAGAGTGTACGAATTGAGGCTTGGAGCCTCCACCTAGATTTCAGAGGATGTAAGGAAAAGCCTGGAAGTCCAGGCAGAAGCCTGCTGCAGGGACAGAGCCCTCATGGAGAACCTGTACTAGGGCAGTGCAGAGGGGAAATGTGGAGTTAGAGCCCCCACACAGAGTCCCACTGGGGCACTGCCTAGCATTGCTGAGAAGAGGGCCACTGTCCTCCAGACCCCAAAATGGTAGATCCACCAGCAGCTTGGACCCTGCACCTGGAAAAGCTGCAGGTGCTCATTGCTGGCCCTTGAGAGCAACTATGGGAACTGAGCCCTGCAAAGCCACAGGGGTGGAGCTGTCCAAGGAAGGCCTGGGGAACCACCTTCTTGCACCATTGTGCCCTGGATGTGAGACATGGAGTCAAAGGAGATTATTTCGGAGCTTTAAGATTTAGTGACTGCCCTGCTGGGTTTCAGACTTGCATGGGGCCTGTAGCCCCTTTCTTTTGGCTAATTTCTCCCTTTTGGAATGAGAGTATTTATCCAATGCCTATACCCCCATTGTATCTTAGAAGTAACTAACTTATTGTTGTTGTTGTTGTTGGTTTTAAATATGGAACGGTTCAAGAATTTGTGTCTCATCCTTGTGCCGGGGCCATGCTAATGTTCTTTGGATCCTCCTGTTTTAGTGTATGTGCTGCCAAAGTGAGCACACTAAGTTGTTTTTTATTTTACAGGCTCATAGGGAGAAGGAACTAGGCTTGTCTCAGATGAGACTTTGTACTGTGGTCTTGAGTTAATGATGGAATGAATTAAGACTTTGAGGGACTGTTGGGAAGGTATGATTTTATTTTGAAATGTGAGGAAAACATGAGATTTGGGAGGGGGCCAGGGGCAAATTGATATGGTTTAGATCTGCGTACCCACCCAAATCTCATACTGATATGTAATCCCCATGCTGGAGGTGGGACATGGTGGAATGATTGGAAAATCATGAGGTTTGTTTCTCTTGGTTTAACATCATGCCCCTTGGTGCTGTCATCATGATAGTGAGTTCTCATGAGATCTGGTTGTTTAAAAGTGTGTGGCACCTTCCCTGTCTCTCTCTTGCTCCTCCTCTGGCCATGTAAGACGTGCCTGCATCCCCTTTGCCTTCTGGCATGATTGTAAGTTTCCTGAGGCCTCTCTAGAAGCAGATGCTGCTGTGGTTCCTGTACAGCCTGTAGAACCATGAGCCAATTAAACCTCTTCTCTTTATAAATTACCCAGCCTCAGTCATTTCTTGAATAGCAATGCAAGAATGGACTAATACAAAGGGTTTTTACATTTTTAAATGGTTATATTTTACATTTTAAATGGTTTTTACATTTTTAAATGGTTATATAAATACTTACACAATATCCTTAGTTTTTCTTCTTAGTGCACAAATCCTAAAACATTTACTAACTGGCTTTCCAGAAAAAATGTACTAACTCTTGGTCTAGGAAATGATGTTGTAACATCTTTCCTTATTTTGATTATAAGAGATAATTCATTACTTTTTTAAAAAACTCTTTTAAATTACTCTTTCCAGTAATCAAAACTAGTATATCTTTTTTTTTTTTCTTGAGATGGAGTTGCTGTGTTGCCAGGCTGGAGTACAGTGGCATGATCTCGGTTCACTGCAACCTCTGACTCCCGGGTTCAAGCGATTCTCCTGCCTCAGCCTCCCAAGTAGCTGGGATTACAGGCACATGCCACTATGCCCAGCTAAGTTTTGTATTTTTAATTGAGACGGGGTTTCACCATGTTGGCCAGGATGGTCTCAATCTCCTATCATGATCTGCCTGCCTCGGCCTTCCAAAGTGCTGGGATTACAGATGTGAGCCACTGCACCAGGCCAAAACTAGTATATCTTAATAGAAATGTCTTATGTTTTTGCAGTCTTTTCAGGGGTTAATGAAAAAAGTAGAAAAGGTTTGCTGCAAAATTTTAAATCCATCAGTAGTCATTATAATATATTTTGGAAGTATACAAAGGGAAGAGAATTACAGAATGCCCCCCTCCCCATATGAAGGAGTTGGCTCTGGGCTCATATGGGATGGAATATTACCTCAGTGTTTGCTTCCGTCATGAAATACCTTGGGTACCGGTTATCTCTTCCTTAATGTATGTTTCATCCTTCTGAATGCATCAGAGAGAGAACCTCCGTTGTGAGCTGACTTCCCTGTGGAGCAAGCAGAGCAACTGTGGATAGCCTATTTGCTTTCACTCCTTTGTACTCCCAGTCCCAGGCAACCACCACTAATCTATTTCCTGTGGCAATAGATTTGCCTTTTCAGAACATTTCATATAAATGGAATCACCCAATATGTGGTATTTGTGGCTAACTTCTTCCACTTGGCATAATGCTTTTGAGTTTCATACAGCTTAGAGAATATATCAATACTTCATTTGAATGGATATACCTCACTTTGTTTATCCATTCACCATTGAGTGGGTATTTAATTGTCTTTGCCTTTTGGCTACTATGAATAATGCTGCTGTGAACATTCAGATAGAAGCCTTTGCCTGGACATGTCTTCATTTCTCTTGGGTAGCTACCTAAAAGAGAAATTGCTTACTGAGTTATATGATAAATTCACATTTAGAGATATGAAATGTGAACATGAATATCTAAGAAATTATGAAACTTAGTAAGATGCACCATTTCATCTTCCCACCAGCAGTGTGTTCAGGTTCCAGTTTCGCTACATCCTCAAAAACATAGCTATTATCTCTTCAATTATAGCCATTCTAGTGGCGTGTGAAATGATTTCTCACTTTTTTATTTCCCTTGTGAATAATGATGTGGCATTATCATGTGATTATTGGTCATTTATGTATTGGTAGATATCTGTTTAGATCTTTTGCACATTTTAAAGTTGTGGGGTTTTTTTTACTATTGAGTTTTAAGAGTTCTTTATACAAATCCTTTGTGGGCTTAATGACTTGCAAACATTTTCTCCTAGTCTATGGCTTGTCTTTATTTATGGTATCTTTTGAAGGGCAATGCATTTTGAAACATGAGTTAAGAATTCATAACATAGAAGAGATTTCCATATATTTTTTTCTCATGTTGATTATTTTATTCTAAAGCTGAGATTTATAGGAATTTGTGGAACTCCTCCAAAGAGTCAGTGCCAGGGTTGGTCACCTCTTTAGGTAGTTTGAATATTTTGGATACCCACACAATGCTAGAGCTCTAGGCAGCGCCAAGTTTCCCTATGGCCTATATCTGTTTAATTCATTTTCCATTTAGGGTGCATCTGTCAAAGGTGACTTCAAGGACATCAGTAGGGAGAGCTTATCTTGGATGGTTGGTTGTATCTCAAGTCTAGCCTGAGGGTTTCATCCTGTCTGGACCACCAAGGCCAAGAAGTGGGAGTGCTCCTTTTTCATTTCTGTTTCCCCTACTCTCCATACATACCACTCATCCCTTTAAATGACTTTCTTTTATAATGCAAAAAGGATGATAAAGAATATAGGGGGAGAAGTTGAACAGAAGAGCTAGTATAAAAATCCGAAAACAGCTAGGCAGCACTATCAGAAGATAGTGTATACTGCTTAAGGGCACATACTCTGCCACTTACAAGACATGGAGTTCAGGCAAATTGCTTGATCTTTCTGTGTCTCCTTCCATAGTTCTAAAATGAGAGTAATAACAGTATTAACCTTGCAAAGTTTTTGTGAGGATTAATGAATTAGAACATGTCAGGTGTTTAGAAGCATATCTGCTGGTAATTATTTGGTAGATTTTAACTATTATTTTTGTTGTTGTTAAACGATAGGTAGAGTGCTGCTGTACAAAAAGCACAGGCTTTCACATCAGACATCCCTGGTGTCATCTTGAGTTTGGGTCCCCACTCCTGTATTTACTAGCTGTTGACTTCAGACAAACCACGTTGACGTGTTGCTGTGATGGATAAAACAGTATTACATATTTGATTGCACTTAACAGTGGCTGGAAGATAGTAGGTAGTCAATAGATGTATTTTTGTTGTTGATTGTTTGGTTTTGATGTTAAGGAGGCATGATTGGCAATGCAAAAGAATTCTGTGACCCCTTTCTGAGGGAGAGCACCACAGAAGTTGAAGGAAGAGGGAAGTCTTGCAGAAGAAATGATGGGTGGGGGCCCTCTCTGGGAGATTTGTTTGGGACAGATGATGAAGGTTGGTCAAGGCAGCAGCAGGCCCAGAGCTGATGTTTCAGGAGACACACACATTGGGCTAGTAGAGACCAAGACCCAGAGTCTAAAGGTGGGATTTAATTATTGAAAGCCTTGAGGCTCGATTACTAAGTGTCTTCAGAGTTGTTCTTTTAGGAACCTCAATCTGGCTATAAATGGACAAAGTCCTGGAGTCAGAAACCATGTTCAGGAACACTGCAGGTGTTAATTATTAACCCTGTTAGAAAGCAGTCCTAATCTCTAGGCTTGGTTCTGAGAATATCTGCATGCTGTCCCTTCATTGAAGGCAATTTGCTCTCTACCTACATCTTTTCTTGTCAGTGCTTTCATGGTTACCCTGAGGTTCTACATGAAAGAGGTTTTATAGCACTAGGAATAATGTTACTCTAAAGCATGCAATGGAACAAAGAATGTGTGTTTGTTACCTTAGCCAGTATATTCCAAATATGTACAAGTGATTACAAGAACCACTTGAGAATCAATTTTCTATATGATAGTCTATCTCTGCCTTGAATTACCTAGTATATTCTAGGAAAAGTGTAAATAATTTTATTTTTGTGATTTGAAATGTTCATTTTGTAATTTAAATTGTTATCATTCATGAGATACTTGGAATGACCTATTTACTGTAGTAACTCTAGCTGGAAATTTCTTACTGATTGCCTTCCCACCTACCCACTACAGTCTTAAACTCTTGGACTCAAGGGATCCTCTCACTTCAGCCTCCCAAGTAGCTGGGACTGTGAGTAGTCACCACCCCGGCCTCCCTTCTTTTGTACATTTTCAAACTTTAAAAAGATCTTATGATGAAATCTTTGACAGTGGGGTGGATTACATTTCCTTTTTGTTGTTTCTTGAAGTATGAACATTGATTTGCCTTTATTGTGCTTTTTACTAGAAGAGGAAAGATAAATATAAGAATATAGTTCATTCTTGATAAATGTTTCATAATGTCAAGAATCTTTTTGCTCCAAGTCCTTTTTAGGCTCAGAACAATACCAGAAAGGACCTGGCCACCCTCAGCTCCTATGAGCTCTTCCTCCACTACCATGGAGTAGGGACCTTCATAGCTTTAATGACAGCCCTCTGTTGAGAGCCACTGAAGCCTTGTCCATTTTTCCCTTCTCTATGTGACCCTAAAGTCTTGAGAGGATTTGGACATTGGGAAAACTACTTAGCTCACAGGAACTTTCTTTGAGTTTTGTATTCTGCCTTGTCTTCTGCCTCTCTACTCAACCACTCTTTCCTTGCTGCTTACCCAGAGAAGGAATGAGAAAGGACACCATCTCTATTTTAACCGGGCTTAACCGGTTTGATGTGGAAAGACTGAGTTCTCCAGGCATTTTTTCCCAGTGACACTAGGGCAGGATGACCCTGAGAATAGAGGTAACTCTCCAAATATTGTCACAAGCTGGGAGTGAAGACAAAAGATGCGACTGATTTTTTTAGAATAGGTAAGGCTTGCTTAGATTTACAGCTGTTGCCCGTCCGCCGGGAAGCAGCTTT